TGACCTATCGGAGAGGAGAAGGCGGGGCGGTCCCGCCCCCCGCGGTGGCGGAACCGCCTCCCATTGGCTGGCGGCGCGSAACAGCTGCGCGTGGCCACGTGGTGATGTTGTGGTTGCATCAGACGGGCGCGGGCAGATGTTGGGGAGCACATCTGGCGGAGGGGGGGACACTGCGACAGGGGGCTGCTGGAGGGGTCGGGGATGGCCTTAGGGAGGGGATGGGGCGGGGAAAAGTGATGGTGACTCCGTGGTGACACCGCTGACTGGAAAGCGAGTCAGTCCGCCTCTTCACTTCCTTGGCTAAACAGTGCTTTGGAGAGTTGTTTTTCTCTCTTTACAGCATTGAAATCCTCAGCCTTACGGCCTTTGTGCACTGCTGCCTTGGGGGGTCAAATCTACCAGGGAAAACACAAAGGAAAACAAACCCCTGAGCCARTCAGTAAATGACAAATCTTCCAGGAGTCAGTGCGATGACATTACCAGTGCACAGAAACGCTGGGGCAGAGCCTGCAAACCCCATAATTAGATGAGTAATCCTCATGTGAGTGCTGAAGTCATTGGCCCCAGATCCCTTGATGTGCACCGCAGGACTTTTGGAAAATGAGCCACATGCAATACCATCTCCATGAGGCAGATTCCRTGTGGACACATATATCTGCCTGGATKAATTCCCCTTTGCARCATGTGGGCCTTGGAGTGTCTGTAATATTCCCCTGTGASGGAGTTTGAAACCTGCAACTGTGAAGATGATTGATTTTGGGGAGGAAGTAGGAAAACACRCATCTTCAAAACACCACTTTGGAGGGAGGTGGATGGTGCATCGTCCCTAGGACACAAAGCACATGAGTGACWCTGCAGGGGAATAATTTTAAAGACATGTTTAGGGGGAAAACATCTCTTTTTCCAAGGGGCCTAGTGGGAAGTTCTAATAAAACCCAAATGTGAAACAGAAAAGCTGGTTTTGAACGTCCCTRTGGATCAGCATAGTTTGATTTTGAAACAGGGATGTCAGACAGGAAATGGGCTTGTGGAGCAGARWARAGTTTAAAAACAAAA